AAAAAAAAAAATCTGGAAAGTAGAGGTGGCGCCTGTGGCTCAAAAGGGTAGGGCGCCAGCCCCATGTGTTAGAGGTGGCAGGTTCAAACCCAGCCCTGGCCAAAAACTGGAAAAAGAAAAATCTGGAAAGTAATTTATTGCATTAAATGGCTTTTCTATTTATAACACTAACTTTTGGGTTTTTATTTGTGCATACTTAAATCTTAGCCTTAATAACCTATGATTTCTACCATGGGGAATATACTAAAATAAGTTGCCAAAACAGAGTTAGTTGTAAACATAAGTGTGAGTAAGGTAAGATTGTCATCTCCTTTGCCTTAGGCGGAAAGATCCCTAGAACTAGGATTTAGCTTTTCTCTGCTCACATCTCAGGAGTACACTTCTGTTTTACCAAAATATAGTAAAACAAGGTATACATTTTTCTTTCTGCACCTATTTTTAAGTGAAAAGTACTGTTCATTTTCATTCCTACTCTCATTCCTTTCTTAACACATAAAAATCCAGTTTAATTTTAGAGAATTGCTGTCAGTCATGTGAACTCTGTACAGCATCTCCATTCACACTGCTTCACATATCACTCACAGGACAAGTCCTCACAAAGACCTGTTTTGTTCTTCTGTCGATCCACCCTAAAGAAACCAGTTTCCAAACTATGCACAGCTTTGTAAATCAAGATGAACTGGTCAGAAATTGGATACAGAAACAAACAAGAAACCAAAGGATACTGCCTGGTTAACGAGCAGAATGAGTCTTATACAGCAAAATTGCCAATAACGAAATGTTCAGTGGTCTAAGAATTCCAGTTAGGAAGTTCATATCACATTTGTATTGTAATCATGTAAAGTCATTAGCTTTTTTCAGTTATTGTTAGAGTTAAGGAAATAGAAGTGATGCTTTTCGTGAGATATTCTGCGCATCAGAGGGCAGTTAAAACAAATGATAACATGGGAACTTCTGTGTTTCTTAGCCAGGCCAGTGTTTGATGACCAACTACCAAGGTTGAGAGGAAGAAGAGTTTGGTTTGTAGATACAGGTTCCCTTCCTTCTGGCAGCAGTTGGTGGACCAGAATAAGGGAAAATGCAGAATTTCTACATATGCATAATTTACTTTCTGACAGACTTTACATCTATGTCAGCAAGAAAGGAATACAGCCAGACACAAGTTATAAGTAACAGCATATGTTTTCCACTATAGAGTTAAATTCAAACATAATGTATTAGCAGCTTCCTTTATGGATTTTGAGAATATTCCTGAAATATTTTCTCTGTGAATAAATGTTTTGTCAAATATTTTACCTTGTTTAGAATTTTCAAGAACAACGAACTTTCATTTTCTGTTAGAGGATCTTGTCTAAACATTAACTTACTATTAAATAGCCTTCCAGATAATCTGCATCTTTGTGATGTTTCTCTCTCCCCTTGAGAAATTAAAAAAGGAAACAAAAGAAACAAAGAAAATGTAAAATATCCTGTACTCATTATTCCAACAATAGCCAAAGACAGAGCTTCCGCGGCCCAAACAATTAGAGCACACTGAGTTCTCTGACAGTAGAGGACTGAACCACAGGAATTTTATAACATATAAAACTGTCCCATAGAATACTTGACACATTTGGATTTTTACTATCCTCCTTTCCCAATACATTTTGTGAAGAAAATTATAATAAAAATATTCTATATGAGAGTACAAAAGGATTAAACTGAATAATGGAACGCCTTCTCGCTTTCAGCTTCTTCCTAGTATTCCATCGGCAAATTTCAGTCTCTGCTCTTCCCTACAGACTGACAATTCAGGACTGTCTGATTTCCCAGCTTAATTTCAACCCACTGGGAGGATTTGAATTTTTGAAATGATAGTTTTAACATAAGAGTTAGACTTTCTTTTTTATTATTACGTTTTCACTGGGGTATAATTTACAATAATGTGCACATAGCTATACAATTTGAATTTTAACACATGCATAAGTTAAGATCAATGGGGAGGACTCTCTCCAAATGTATCTGCCAGGAGATTAAAAAGTTTCTACATGATTCTGAGCTACATCCGGTTAAGAACCATTGCCTTGGTACAGACCAGATTGAGTAATTTACATGAAAATACATAACATATCATAAAATGTAATACAGATCAAAGTTAGGTGCTTATTTTTTAAGACCTTAAATTTCTCATGTGTCTTTTTGTGGGGTTTGCAATGCTGCCTCACCATTGAAATTCTCAATTGTTTTTCTGTTTGTTTTTAAGAAAATTAATGCAAAACTTCATGATGGAGTATGTCAGCGCTGTAAAGAAGTTCTTGAATGGCGTGTAAAATACAGCAAATACAAACCATTATCAAAACCTAAAAAATGGTAAGTTAAGTTTCTTGATTACCTTCCTAGTAATATACTGTGTATCATAGTTTATTATTTCATCATTTTCAAAATTTGTACCCAAATAAATCATATATATATATATATATATATATTTTTTTTTTTTTTTTTTTTTTGAGACAGAGTCTCAAGTTGTCACCCTGGGTAGAGTGCCCTGGCATCACAGCTCATAGCAACCTCCAACTCCTGGGCTTAAGTGATTCTCTGGCCTCAGCCTCCCAAGTAGCTGGGACTACAAGTGCCCACCACAATGCCCGGCTATTTTTTGGCTGTAGTTGTCATTGTTGTTTGTCAGGCCTGGGCTAGATTCAAACCTGCCAGCTCTTATGTATATGACTGGTGCTTTAGCCACTTGAGCTACAGGCACTGAGCATTTTTTTTTTTTAAGAGACAGAGTTTCACTTTATCACCCTCGATAGAGTGCTGTGGCGTCACAGCTCATAGCAACCTCTAACTCCTGGGCTTAGGCAATTCTCTTGCCTCAGCCTCCCAAGTAGCTGGGACTACAGGTGCCCGCTACAACAGCTGGCTATTTTTTGTTGCAGTTTGGCCGGGGCTGGATTTGAACCTGCCACCCTTAGTATATGGGCCGGCACCCTACCCACTGAGCCACAGGCACTGCCCTGTACCCAAATAAATATTAAAGTAAGTAAAGAAAAATTCCATTCTCTCATGTAGAATTTCATCTTGCATGCTAAATCTTGGTTTGTGAAGGCAGACAGATTAATAAAGTAAATTTGACATTTTCTGCCTCCTTCCATAAATAAATAATGCACCATTATTATAGAGCCTATTCAGAAAAGGTAAGTTGTGTCTAACAGGAGACAGTTTGTTTTGTAAAATTCTATCTTCCACTGATGAGGTAACACTATTTACCATAGGTTATCTTTAGTTCTTCAAAGGGGTCTGACCTTTTAATTCAATTTGTGAAGATTACTGAAATGATTTGGGTCAAGTCTCACAAGTGAATCACTAGATTGATAATTTGTAATTTATGTCAGTATTTAATAGCTTTGAGTGTTTTAACTTGAGCAGTTTATTTCACCTGAGGTGCTGCTTTTTATTTTTCTTGGATACAGAGTCTCAAGCTGTCATCTTAGGTAGAGTCCTGTGGCATCACAGCTCACAGCAACCTCAAACTCCTAGGCTTAAGTGATTCTCTTGCCTCAGCCTCTTAGATAGCTGGGACTCCAGGCACTGGCTATTTTTTGTTGTTGTTGCAATTGTCATTGTTGCTTTAGCAGGCCTGGGCTGGGTTCAAACCTGCCAGCCTCAGTGTATGTGGCCAGTGCCCTGCCCACTGAGCAATGGACACTGCCCTATTGATTTATTTTTTTTTGAGACAAATTTTGCTCTGTTGCTTAGGCTGGAGTGCAGTGGCATGATCATAGCTCACTACATCCTTGAGCTCAAACAATTCTTCTGCTTCAGCCTCTCAAGTAGCTGAGAATACAGATGCCTGCCACCATGCCCAGCTAATTTTGCCTTTCTTTTTTCTTTTCCTCTCTTTCCCTTCTTTTCATAGAGACAAGGTCTCACTTAGTTGCCCAGGCTTATCTCAAAGTCCTGGCTTTAGACTATCCTCCATCCTGGCCTTCCAGGCATGAGCTGTCTCTCCTAGCCAGGTGTGTCTTTTAATAGTGAAAGGTAATAGACTGAAGGAAGGATAAACTAACTCTTTAGATTCTTTTTTTTTCCTTCTTCACTTTTTTCTGTATTACCCATTCAGAGCAGAATTTTTTTTATTTATTATAGGTGTACTTGACTCTCCCTTTAAATAGCTTTACAAGTTTCTCTCTCCTATCTTTCAGTCTTTTTTTTCCCCTGTGCTCCAGCATTTCCTTCTAAAAGAAAACATTTTTAAATAAGTCTAATGAGTTTTATGCTCACTTGTCCAGATTAGCTATATGGAAATTTGGCAAGCATTTGTACTGCATAACTTTAGATTTTTATGAATGAATTAACTGTGTTCTTTTTTTTTTTTTTTTTTTTGACAGAGTCTTGCTTTGTCGCCCTTGGTAGAGTGCTATGGCATCATAGCTCACAGCAACCTCAAACTCTCAGGCTCAAGCGATTCTCTTGCCTAAGCCTCCCAAGTAGCTGGAACTATAGGCGGGTGTCTGACACAACACACAGCTTTTTTTTTTTTTTTTGGAGACAGAGTCTCACTGTTGCCCTCAGTAGAGTGCGATGGCATCACAGCTCACAGCAACCTCAAACTCTTGGGCTTAAGTGATTCTCTTGCCTTGGCCTCCCAAGAAGCTGGGACTATAGCACCTGCCACAGCACCTGGGACTACAGCACCTGCCACAGCACCCAGCTATTTTTTTTTGTTATAGTTGCCATTGTTGCCTGGCAGACCAGAGCTGGGTTCGAACCTGCCAACTCCAGTGTATGTGGCTAGTGCCCTAGCCTCTGAGCTACAGGCGCTGAGCCAATTAACTGTGTTCTGTACCATAATAATTAGTTACTGGTTGAACATTAGATCATGTTGTTTTAGTTAATAGGCCTAATACGGTATTTGTAGATCTCTGAAATTTTCTACTAAGTCTTTATTTCTACAAAGATATTTTGAGATTTCATCATCAGTTCCTATTTTCTCTTCTTAGCACTGTTTCCTAAAGTATTGGAAGTATAATATAGTAATAAACATGTGTATATCCATAGCACTTCAATAAATTAGTGCTTTGTAACAAAGGAAATCATGAAAAACATTCCTGCCTTATCTGTATCTTAATGTCTTACCTGTAATATGTACTGCATTCTTTATGTTTATCTTCATTAATTTATTCTCTTTAGTAGGCTCAGGCTGGGTGCAAACCCACTACCCCAGCTACATGGGGCTGGTACTGCAGGCACCCCCTGAACTTATGTATTTTAGACAGCTCTTCAACTTTTCCTTTTTTTGTATATTATTTATAATCTTAAGGTTTTTACGACATCAGAAGAATTTGCATGCTTTAAGTCCTAGAAAGACAAAATACTTTATTCAGAAGCACAGACTCAGTTAAAAAAACAAAAGTATAAAGGAAACAGTGTTAGGAGAAAATGTTATATTTCGTTTTTTAGGTTGGATGTGAGCAGCGCCTGTGGCTCAAAGGAATAAAGTACTGACCCCATATGCTGTAGGTGGTTGGTTCAAACCCAGCCCCAGCCAAAAACTGCAAAAAAAAAAGAATGGTTGAATGTGAACACATAGCCCGAAAGATCAGCAATTGTGTCCTATGTTGGAATCATTAAAGCCCTTGAAGTCAGGGGAGTTCGTGGTGATGTTGTCACCACCTGGGCAGTGCAGTGGTCCATAGGCCTTCAGGGGGCCTTAGTGGTGTCAGAGAGATGAGGGCTAAAGGGGACCTCAAGAGCTGCTGTCCTGTATCACAGGGAGGCAGATGAGGATAGCCATACACTAGTTCACAATGAATGCAAAAGGACGGAAGTACAATATTATACCAAATACCAAACTATAGGTAAAAAGACCTTAAAAAGGTAAAACCAAGCTGTATGCTCACTGGTTCATATTAGCAGTAGGGAAATTTGGCAGCTGTTAACACTATAAACTTTAGATTTCCATGAATGAATTAACTGTTCTATACCAGGGTATATAGAACAAGTTAATATTAAATTGTAACTCATGAGAGACTAGGAAACATGATAAGTTCTATGGGACCACAGGAGCCCCCATAAGAAAATCAAGATCCAAAGAAATAGGTAAACGTGAGTATTTTTGTACTGTGCTTGATGAACAGTAGAAAGTCATGGAAAATTATGATGGGACAAAGGGGTAAGAGCTAATAATAGTAAAGCCGGCAGACACTCAGCAAGGCCTGTTGTTTGGATTCTTCTCACTGTCCCTTGGTCTTCAGGAATAAGGCTGCTTCTTTCGTGGCCAGGCATAATGGCTCAAGCCTCTAATCCTAGCACTCTGGGAGGCTGAGGCGGGTGGGTAGCCTGAGCTCACAGGTTGGAGACCAGCCTGGGCCAGAGTGAGACTCCATCTCTAAAAATAGCCAGGCATTGTGGCGGGTGCCTCTAGTCCCAGCTACTCGGGAGGCTGAGGCAAGAGAATCGTTTGAGCCCAAGAATTTGAGGTTGCTGTGAGCTGTGACATCACAGCACTCTATTGGGGGCAACTTAGTAAGACTTTTGTCTCAAAAAAAGGAAATGATGCTTCTTTCCTCCAGCTCTAGGGAGGGCACCTGTCATGTGGGGGGAGAGGTTATGGCCTATTTCAGGGGAAGGTCAGAGAGTCTTTCCTACGCCTGTGGTTTCTCAGATTTCCTCAGCGTAAAATGTTCAGTAAGCAAAAGAGCTGTATTTTGGGATAGCATGTTTTGAAACCTGTTAGTCTGAACACATTACTTAGGAGGTCACTTGCTTGACCTAGAACATCATGGATTTCAGATTGTCCTGAATTCATGGTATGTTAGGTATACTATTGGAAAACCTAGCTTTCAAAACTCAATTCCAGGATTGAGAGTGTTACAGAAAGTATAACTCATTTGCTTCCCGTGTGTATTAAGACTTGACTAGCATTGTAAGGGACTTGAATCTCTTGGTGATGCTTATGGTAGCATAATTTGCTTTGACATTTTAAATGTTCAAAGAAGGACCTCTCACATAGCTCAGTGGGTAAGGCACTGGCCGTATACCCCCAGGCTGGCTGGTTCAAACCCAGCCCGGGCCAGCTAAAACAACAATGACAACTGCAACAACAACAACAACAATAAAAAATAGCTGGGCATTGTGTCAGGCACCTGTAGTCCCAGCTACTTGGGAGGCTGAGGCAAGAGAATCACTTAAGCCCAAGAGTTTGAGGTTGCTGTGAGCTGTGACGTCACAGTGCTCTACCAAGGGCAACATAGACTCTGTCTCAAAAATAAATAAATAAAAATAAAAAAACACCTATAAGTTAAATTTGTCCTTTATTATAATTTGCTTAAGAAGTTTACTTGGATACCAGATGTATCTTTTGTGGTAGG